GAAAGTGTACGGAGTATTTTAGAGGTGTACTTAATCGATCGCAAATGTCGTTTTGTGGATATATCTGTTTATCTCGACGTATTTTGCAGGAATTTTTAGCATGCGTTTTCTCGCTTCTGACGTCATTAAAAAGAGATGGATGATGCGACTCCCCAGGAGCCTTAAAGGAACATGTCCTCTTTTGCTTTTTTCTTCTACGAATTTGTTTATAATAATAGTTTCCACATTATATCATGTAATGAAGCGTTTTCGGGATCGTGCCTGAATCGGCTCGCCGGAGTCCAAGGTTCGTGATTTGCGGCGCAGAGAATGTGCGACTATTAGTAATTATTCGTAGCTTGTTGATACGAGGTTTTATTTATTGTCGTATTTACACTATACACAAAAAGAATTAATGTTTTTGTATGGGTGAAGGATGTCCGTCAATAAATGGAAACGTCCTTCTTGGAGTCGGTGATCCGACGATGGTTCCACAATCCGTCGTGGTTATCAGGGACGATTCTGGCGGGATAACAGGCGCCACCGCTGGCGCGGTAGGGAGCCGTCGTCGAATCCCGACGTATTGTCCTCTAGGTTCGGTGAGCGACGATCGAATCTCGACACGTCGTCGTCGTCGTCGTCAGAAACAGTGACGATTGAACGGCAACTCGTCACCTGGAGCTGAGTCTCTCGGGATATACTACGGGATATTCTCCTCGGAGATTGGTGGTCAACTCGTGTATAAAGTAAAGTATTGCGCATCACGGAGGTAGAACATGAACTAATCACAAAGCTGCCACAAAATATACTAACCTAACGTTACGTCTGATGAGAGCATCCATTGAGTTTCTCACATTTGTGGCAAATGCTGATTGGTAACTACTGCGCATTCACCGGAATGCCTTATATTCTTACACCATGATCAGAATCTCACGGGCTTCCCCTATATCCTGTCGTTGGATAGAATTTAACCGCGAGAATCGGCTTGATGCCTGGCGTGCGCCGCGCAGCGGCGGTTAGCGGCACTTGTAGTACACAACACGGTGCGTGGGATTGAGGGGTCTTAGACTCTCTCGCTCTTATATGAATATATATTTCCAACATAAATTATCCATCTTGCTTAAGTAACTAAAGTAAATGAAAAGTTAACAACACAAAAGGACCATCGTAATTCTGAAAGGAAAAAAGAACACGACGTGGAACGTAACGGAGCCAAAGTGTCCCATTACAATCGCGTACGATTCATTGTAATTATAAATTATATTTTTGCCACACCAATGGCATCCAACTTCTATACATATTACACATTCTTATTCTTTAAATAATTAACTAAATTTTAGAAATTATACGTTATAAATAGATGAATTCGTGCAATAACATAATGACAGTACGAAATAAAGTTCAAAACCAATAGAATAGAAGAATAATGAACGTTCTATATCTCTTCAGTGTAAACAGACTAAATGAATATCTGTTTATCAAAAGACATTATATTGTTTTGCACGAGATATATTCACATACTATATCAAGCAATTACACATATAGCAAATAATTTTAACTAGTACTTTTTTCAAACTTCTTTTGTTAATAACTTTTTAATGAACAATAAGCGACGCATAAAACCTACTGATTATTACTTAAGGCCACATTATTACTTGTCCTTGATAACATATATCAAGGTCAAGTCGGAGGTGGCACCAGTTTTCTGAATATTTACCCATACATACTTATCCTGCTATGTCTTTTCTCCATATTGCGAAAGGTTCAAACATCAAAAAAGATAAAATCACTTAAAGTGCAGTTGAGACAAAAAGAGAAAAATTAAACAACTTCGGTAAAACTGCCTATAGATTCTCGTATTTACTCGACAAACAAAAATCTCTCGAGCTAACAGTACCGCATTTTCCAGTCGTGGATGGAGTCCCTAAGAAAGGCTCAACAGCAATTCGCATTGATGAAAGTGCCGCCGCTCAACGAATCTCTGATGAACCTGACGACCGTTAGCAGACAACCGAGTACGTTCTTAGGTGACGGCGATTACGAAACGGAGGAATGCGAGGGTATGCCGAGAACTCCACGAGGTAGCAGTAGAGCGTCGCGCGTTAGCAGTCTTGCTCATAGTCACAGGTACATTTTGTATAACAGTGAATATTTCTTACATACTGTGACCCTTTTTGCTTTCGTAAGTCCCAAAATACTATCACGGCTTTGAATCTCTAATCCGATGTTCCCTGCGAGTCTCATTTTGACGCCAGGCACGCCTTGACGTGCCCACGAAATTTATCCGCGCAATCATGCTAGCGTGATAACCCGCATCCGCGACAAGCTCCGGTAGTTCGATAAGGTGTTTTAAGTCGGCGAAGGATGCAGACTTGCTCCGCAGGGGAAAAAATCACCTGACTTCGTTGAATGATCGACAGTTTTATTATTTTGCACCTTCTCACTAATAAGTGCGGCGTTAAATAATCACATGCGCAATTCAATTTCTACGGACTCTTCTAAAACGTGGCGGCGATCACGATCCGCCGGTTCGAGAGCTTCTCAACGACAGCTATTCGGTCAAGATCACCTTGACCTGACCTTGATCACTGACCTTAGCTACCGCAACCGATTTGCTCTTTCGGTACGAAACTCACCTCGACCTTCCCAGGTGGGAGTGGTCGTACCGAAAGAGGAGGTGGAAATACGTCTTCTTTAAATATTAAATTTGCCACCATTTTGTTTCTGGACAACTACAAACAAAAATTCCTTCACTACAAACCTCTACAAATTAGTTCGAGTCGATATAGCCGGTTTAGAGGACAGCCCCTCACGAGGGGATGAAAATACGCCACCCTTAATGTCGTAGAGGCTGTATCTTATTTTCTGAACAACTACAAACGAAAATTCCTTCACTACAAACCTCTACGAATTATTTGGCTTCGATATGGTCGGTTTAGAGGACAGCCCCTCACAAGGGAGTGGAAATACGGCACCCTTAGTTATTTAATTGGTCGCCATTTTGTTCCTGGACAACTACAAACGAAAATTCCTTCATTACAAACCTCTACAAATTATTTGGCGTCGATTAGGTCACTTTTTAAGTCAGCCCGCCATTTTGGGGGGCTGACGATTTTTTCACCCCCTGTAACTTTTTCATTTTTTTATTATAAACAAAAAGTCTTTCACTACATATTTCTACAAACGATTTGGCGTAATTTTATGCAAAAAAAATTTTTTTTATTAAAAGTGGGGGCTAACTTCACAGAGGTTACAATGCAGGCTACGACAGCGTGTTCTGCCATACGATGGTATTTAATAATATTGGAGGGAAGTCACCTGGCTTTGCTGGCCTCCCTCGACTTCTTGACGATAGCAACTCTTCCACAAGCTCAGTTCTTCCACCGTCGATATCTGCTCTTCCTGCTTCGGATCGGGAAATTACTCGCTAGATTCTATCAAAAAATTACTCGCGGATTGCTCTCTTCGCTTCCCCCTCCCCTCCCCTCCGATCGAGTGCGGTGGGAATACGGCGACTCGCTATCACGACACTCTCTTACGCCCCTATGCTACCTTGTTACGGGCGCTCACTAGCCGTCACGTCACAATACAGAGTTATACAGTGTTTATATATACAAGGTGTTTCCAAAAGGTAGTACCAAATTTTAGGGGTATGTAGTACTCGTTAAAACAAACCAAAAACTCTTAATCAACAGTACTCCGAAAACCTTTTATTTCTGCGTTATAAAGCATTTTGTTTTGTAAAAAATAGAAAATAAATTAAATCTAGAATAAATGTTCAATGTGCCTTCGGCTCATGTCAATACACATTTCGGCATATTTCGTCATTGAAGGTCAAAGAGTCCAGGTTTATTTCGTATTTGTTGACAACAGTTTCCAAGTCTCTTAGTCAGTTCATTCACGGACGCCCGTATGTGACCACCTAATTACGCAGGGATTGTTGATTCAACTTTGGATTGTGGACCGTGTCTAGTTTTGTGTTATCTGAAAAATGGCTAATTTTTACACAAATTTTGAAATGAAAGATATTCATTTCATGTATGGCAGGACAAAGAGCAATGCTTCAAAAGTAGCACGCTTGTATCATGCAGCTTATCCGAATCGCCGACAGCCAAGTAGAAGAATGTTTAGCAAAATTAATCAACGCTTACGTGAAACCGGACAGTTCAAACCAATTTTAATTACTGCGACAGACCGCGACTTGTTAAAACTCCTGCATTCGAGGAAAGTATTTTACGCACAATTGAAGAAAATCTTCGATCTTCAATGAGGAGACGTGCCAAATTGTGTGTTGAAATGGACGGAGGGCACATTGAACATTTATTGTAAATTTTAGTTATTTTCTATTTTTCACAGAACAAAATGCTTCATAACTCAGAAATAAAAGGTTTCGGAGTACTGTTTATTAAGAGTTTTTGGTTTGTTTTAACGAGTACTACATACTCCTAAAATTTGGTACCACCTTTTGGGAACACCCTGTATATATATATATACAAGGTGATCGGAAATAATCGCATTCGGTCAATATTATCGTGTTTTTGAGCGAATTCTAAGACTATTTTTCCTCTTGCAAAATGTTATCCGAAAAAAAATTGTTTATAAACCAACTAACTTAAATATTTACGCTTTACATATCTTATTTTTATTTGATATATTTTCAGCGGCAGCATGGAAATGGAAGGAGTGTCTCCGGTAAGTAGTAGCTTTGTGCCAAGCTACAACCCAAGCAGAAACGTCAGCGTGGACACGAACGAACCGCCACGAGCGTCGAGTGTATCGTCAGAAGAAGGCGGCGAATGCAGCTCCGGGCACAATCATCGGCCCTTGCAGATAAGGTAAGAGCATAAGGCAGGTAAAGATAGATAAGGGCAAACCGAATATACAATATCTTTCGTTTCACAAGGAACATTCGCGAAGTGCTTATCTCCAATTTCGATAAAACTTGGCATATTTTTAGAGTAACTAAAAATAATGGATACATATTTTTTATATTGGAGAAGGCTCAAGTTTAAGAAGTGAAACTATTCTTTAGAAAACTACCCCTTTCTTGCTATCTTATAACTATTATATATATGTATATATACATATACAGCCGACCGCTGCGAGCCGTATGTCCCGCCTGTCGCGTCGCGTGTTCTAATTTGTCCAACTATTTTAATTAATATCTCGAAATTTTACATGGTAGTTTGAAAAATGACCTATACAATTTTTGTTCACTTTTATGTGTTCTATATATATTTTTCTTTTGGTCCGTCTTACGCGGGACACCCTGTATATATATATATATATATATATATATATATATATATATATATATATATATACAGGGTGAGTCATCTGAATCTATCACCTCCAATAACTCGTTTGTGTGGCCAGGAATCGAAAAAAGTTTCATATAAAAGTTGTAGGGTTTCGAGGGGGAACCAAAATGGCGTACCTTTCAACTTTTGCTTTTGACCGAAAGTGGGTTACTTCAACCGGAAGTGGTTTTTTTTTAATGGAAATCCCCCTTTTTGACACCGGAAAATGAAAAAGCGGAAAATTTTACGTTCAGATATAACTTTGGCTGTTTTAAAATTTTCAAGATGGCGGACGAAG